TAACAAATGTTATGTTTGTTTTAGTTAATATATTTGTTTGAAATTGCAATAAAAATTTCAAAAAAATTACTTATTGATTCAAACAAAATTTTTTTTAAAAATTGTTGTAAAATTTAATAAAAGTTATGTTTGTTTTAATTAAACAATTTGTTTGAAATTGTAATACAAATTCCAAACAAATTATTTATTGTTTTAAACAAAAAATTGTTTGAAAATTATTGTAAAATTTAATAAAAGTTATATTTGTTTTAGTTAAAAAATTTATATGAAATTGGAAATGAACTTTGATTAACTTTTTTGGCTAATAACATAATTATTTAATTGAGAAAAAATGCTTTTTCTTTTCAAATAACTTTTTACGAATTTGTTCGCTGAATATACAATTTTCGTTGTAGGTCCGATTTTAGACAATTTTGTATTTGATTCAATGATTTGTTGAATTGAATCAGTTATTTATTTATTTCTGTGTAGAAAGAGAACCAGCTACCGATCGTTGTTCTGGATTCTATGAGAATCGATCTACAACTGACTCAAGACTTGACTTTAAAAGTATTCATAACTCAAGTGGGGGTATTCCTTGAAGGGCCATAACCCACTATAATTTATTTAGTATGTTTAAATATATACATACATTTTATTTTGGTTAAACCAATAACTCTTCATGTAGAATATCCTTGAAACACTTGTAGGGTTTTATTTGTATAAAACTTTATCAATCAAAATCATTGATTTTCTTTTCAATTCAAGAAAATGGTAAAACATGTATTTTATACTTTAGCTTAAGACCCTTTAATTATAGAAAATTTTTTGGGGAAAAACACTCTTAAAAACCAATATAACTTTGAACAATTTTCCACATAAAGATGCATTCCCACTATAGAAAACTTTTAATAAAAAAACTTTTTTCAGTACAATTTTGTTTACAACTGTATCTTGTAACAATATTTGTTTACCCTACATCACTATAGTGGGAAGGGTATTATGCGTTTGTCCTGATGTTTATAATACATAAAAATATTGGTCCTTATACCGATACTCACAGTCGATTAATCCGTCCGTCCGACCGTCTGTCTGTCCATTTAAACCTTGTGCGCAAGGTACAGGCCGGAATTTTCCAGATATTTTGATAAAATCTGGAGCAAATATGTTCTCCGGCTAGAACGAATCCTATTGAAAATTGTTGAAATTGGTCCATTATTTCACCTAGCCCCCATACATCTGGACCTTCCGATATATTTAGGCTTATACGTCAACGTCAAATATACTACTATATATCTCCAAAAACCTGCTCAACTAAGTCCAAAATTGACTTTTAACCATTAGTATCGTGTTGAAATTCAGCATAACTGGCTTTTATATCAAAATACACAACTCCTCCAAATTTTATGAAGATCGGCAAATATGTATTTGGCCTTAATTCCTATATAAAGAGTACTTTAGAATATCAGTTTTTCATCAATAAATTACTTAAGCACATCGGAATTAATATAAAAATCAACCTTGTTTTTTTTTAAATAGATATTATTTAAAATATACTCATGGTGTAGTGTATCATATGGTCGCCTATGCCCTACTATACTTTCCTATTTGTTTATTGAAATTTGTGTGAATAACAGGTTTATTAACAATAATAGAAAAATTTGTGTATAACAGTATTTTTACAGAAAATTTTATGAATAACAATATTTTCTGTAAATAATATTGTGTATAACAGTATTTTCTATAAAAATTGTGTGTATGACAGCTTAGAAAATTTGTATAAAACAGTTATTTGTATAAAATTTTGTGTATAACAATATTTTGATAGAAAATGATGGGTATACTTTATTCTATAATTTCCTGCAGTAGTATTAGTGCATTAGTATTCATAGTAAATATGAAGTGTCTTCTTAATTAGTATAAAATTCTATTTGTATCCTTAAAATAAATTCTTCAGAATAAAAATTCTTTTCAATTTCATTTCAATATTAAAAAATATTGAAAAAGAAGTGTAATATTATATACATATTTTAAATAAATAAAAACTGTTAACAATCTCAACAAGTATCATTGCTAACGATTGATTATATCAATTTCCGACATTCTCTATACTTTCATACATTCAACAATAATAATGTCTATTACTATACGATTTGCTATTGTGTGAAAATACAGAAATAAGGGGAAAAAATACATAAAATCTACAAATTGTATAAAATCTAGTGTATTTATATATAGGTACGTAACTATGTATGTGTATTTGGTATGAAACAAATCAATGATGGTTCGATTGTTATTGAATCTTTATTTACTTTTTCCCTAACGCTTTCCTCTAACGGCTACAATACCAACAATCTTTTGAAACAAAATATTGATTTTCTTTATTATTGGAGGCACAACACAATCGTGTTGCAACAAATTCATTAAAATTTCCCATTGAGAAGCAGATTTTACTACAGAAGAAGCCCATTTATGTTTGACATACGTTCACACTTACATATTTACTAGGTTCTAGGTGGAAATGTATTTTTAGCCAATATCATTACCATAACCACAAATTTTTAAATAAAATTCGCGCTTAACTAAAAAACATTAGAAAACTTTTCCCCATAACTTAAATGATTGACTCAACAATTTTATAACACTTCCGAATACATACTGCATATGTATGTACAATGTACATACTTTCATTTCTTTAATTGCAGAATTTTGATTATTGCTATAATAAATTCAACTTTTCCTTTTCGTTTCCTCAGAAATCACTTTTTTTGCTGGGTAATAAAAACATCATCAGCATGAACTTATGTATGTGTAAACAAAATTACCCGGCAATTCGATCGGACAGTCCTATTATCTATTTAAACTACCACTTAAGGTTACCCCTAGCCAACAACTGTCCAGGTGATTAGCTTACATGTGCTACGAGGAAGTCAATAGATTATGAAGAGACAGACCAAAAGTTATGAAGAGACAGACCAAAAGTTTGTTATTTTGAGTGTCCACTCTCTCTCTCTTACAAAGGGGACACTAAAGTGACTATAATCTTCACCTCATTTACAAAATATCCGTGACAAAATACAAATTAGAACCAACCAGGTGGTTAGGCGTTAGTGGAAATCACTGTCTTTTTCGGATGTATTGACTCTTTGTCGAACTGCAGGGTATATAAGTTTATTTAAACGAGTTAGGTGTATGTGTCAGCATTTACTTTTTTATTTTGACAGCATGTAAAACTTTACACATGTATGTATTTCGCTTAATATTCACCAAATATTAAAGACAGTGAACTTAGAAAATTACTAATATTTTTAAGGTTACCAGCATAAGCTAATTTCGATCGATTTAATTTGAATACCAAATGTATGCAAGCACAATCATGCCTTTTATAGTATTTTCCATAAAAATTTCGTGTATAAGAGTATAACAGTTTTATACAATTAAAATTTTGTGTATAACAGTATTTTCTGCAGAAAATTTTGTGTATAACGGTATTTTCTATAAAATATTTTGTGTATAACAGTATTTTCTATTAAAAATTTTGTGTATAACAGTATTTTCTATAAAAAATTGTGTGTATAACAGCATTTTCTATAAAATATTTTGTGTATAACAGTATTTTCTATGGAACATTTTGTGTATAAAAGTATTTTCTATAGAAAATTTTGTGTATAACAGTGTTTCCTATAGAAAATTTTGTGTATTAAAGTATTTTCTATAGAACATTTTGTGTATAACACCATTTTCTATAAAATATTTTGTATATAACAGTATAACACTGTTTTCTATAAAATATTTTGTGTATAACAGTATTTTTTATAGAAAATTTTGTGTATAACAGTATGTTCTGTAGAAAATATTGTGTATAACAGTATTTTCTATAGAAAATTTTGTGCATAACACCATTTTCTATAAAATATTTTGTGTATAACACCATTTTCTATAAAATATTTTGTGTATAACAGTATTTTCTACAGAAAATTTTGTGTATAACATTATGTTCTATAAAAAATAAAGTTTTATACAATTAAAATTTTGTGTATAACAGTATTTTCTGCAGAAAATTTTGTGTATAACGGTATTTTCTATAGAAAATTTTGTGCATAACACCATTTTCTATAAAATATTTTGTGTATAACAGTATTTTCTATTAAAAATTTTGTGTATAACACCATTTTCTATAAAATATTTTGTATATAACAGTATAACACTGTTTTCTATAAAATATTTTGTGTATAACAGTATTTTTTATAGAAAATTTTCTGTATAACAGTATGTTCTGTAGAAAATATTGTGTATAACAGTATTTTCTATAGAAAAGTTTGTGTATAACACCATTTTCTATAAAATATTTTGTGTATAACAGTATTTTCTATAGAAAATTTTGTGTATAACATTATGTTCTATAAAAAATTTTGGGCACAACAGTATGTTCTATAGAAAATTTTGTGTATAACAGTATTTTCTATAGAGTATTTTGTGCATAACAGCATTTTATACAAAAAAATTTATGTATAACAGTATTTTCTACAGAAAATTTTGTGTATAACAGTATTTTCTATAGAAAATATAACACAATTGTGTATAATGGTTCTATAAAGAACATTTTGCTTATAGAAGTGTTTTATGAAAATTTTGTATATAACAATATTTTCTTTAAAAATTAACATTGTTTTTTTATATAAAGTGTTGTGTATAACAATTGTATGAAACTATTATGAATAACAATATTTTCTATAGAAAATATTAGGTATAACAATTAACATTTTCTATACAAAATCATTGTTAACAGTAATCACAAGGCATATGCACATAATTTAAACAAAATATCTTACTTACCAATCTTCTGTTTTTGTCATAATTAATAATGCTGGTCACTTGATTACAAACAGCTACAGTCATGTTGAATGTCATCAAGGCGCCTAAAATTATAATATGTTTCTTTCTTGTTCGCAGTAACAAATTCAAAACCACACACACACAAACTCTTCCTTACAGTTATTCCTAACTTATGTATTTGGTTGGCGTGTTTTGTACTTAAATTTTTCGCACACACGAAGAATTTTTTATGACCCACATTTGTGATAAATACTTTGCCATCACCATCAGAAAAACATCATCATCACAGCTAGTATAGTATAGAATGTTGTACTACAATAAAAAGAAAATAAAGGGAAATGGAAATGAAGGAAACTAAACAAAAAAAAAAAATAATCCAAGTTTATTTTAAGGTTAGCAACAAAAAAAATTTTAGATACAATTTTTTTTTATTCGCAGACATTGAAAATTATACATATTTATATACATTACATATGTATGAATAACTAGTACGTATTTATAATAAATTTCACTTTCTTTATTGACAAAGATTTGTAATTCCATTCATGCAAACTACCATCATTTCACTCTCAATAAAAAAAGGGAAAATCATATTAAACTATACAATAATAAAAATATGTTTGAATAGAAGGATTTATTCAATGCAATTTCATGCTTATAATTTAGTTTCAAGTACAATGTTACAAATTTGATAAAGGAAATAACAAGAATATAAACTATAATTTTATGTAAATAGTTATAAATTTAATTTCTTCATATGTTGTGTAATTTGTGTAAAATTATATTGATAAGTGACAGTCAAAGTTAATAGAATTTTCAAGTTTATATCCAAGCTACTTTTTCTTAACAAGAGATTAAAATTAATTCGTTCAACTTTCCTATGTGTTAGAGATTCACAATGAATTTTAAAAGAAAAACAATTTTCTTGTTATAACAGTTTATTGTAAAAAAAATTGTTTATAACAGTATTTTCTATAGATAATTTAATATTTCGCTATATTTTCTATAAAAAATTATGTATATTCTAAAGAAAATATATAGTATAACAGTTTTCCCTATAGAAAATTTTGTCTATAACAGTATCTTCTAAATGAAACTTTGTATACGTCTCTACACTTTCCTTATAACAAGAAAATTGTGTGCGTATGACAGTATTTTCTGTCAACATTTGTCTATAACTGTATTTTCTATATACAATTTTTTGTATAACACTTTCACTACACTTTCACACTTTACAACAGTATTTTCCTTAGAAAATATTTTGTATAACAGTTTATTCCAAAGAAAATTGTGTGTATAACAGTTTTTTATAGAAAATAATGCGTATGACAGTATTTTCTGTCAACATTTGTGTATAACTCTATCATCTGTATACAATTTTTTGTATAACACTTTCACTACAAACATTTTTTTGTGTATAACAGTATTTTCTGTAGAAAAATTTGTGTATAACAACATTTTCTATAAAAAATATTATGTATAACAGTTTATTCTAAAGAAAATTGTGTGTATAACAGTTTTGTGTATAACAGTATTTTCTATAAAAAATTGTGTGTATAACAGCATTTTCTATAAAATATTTTGTGTATAACAGTATTTTCTATGGAACATTTTGTGTATAAAAGTATTTTCTATAGAAAATTTTGTGTATAACAGTGTTTCCTATAGAAAATTTTGTGTATTAAAGTATTTTCTATAGAACATTTTGTGTATAACACCATTTTCTATAAAATATTTTGTATATAACAGTATAACACTGTTTTCTATAAAATATTTTGTGTATAACAGTATTTTTTATAGAAAATTTTGTGTATAACAGTATGTTCTGTAGAAAATATTGTGTATAACAGTATTTTCTATAGAAAATTTTGTGCATAACACCATTTTCTATAAAATATTTTGTGTATAACACCATTTTCTATAAAATATTTTGTGTATAACAGTATTTTCTACAGAAAATTTTGTGTATAACATTATGTTCTATAAAAAATAAAGTTTTATACAATTAAAATTTTGTGTATAACAGTATTTTCTGCAGAAAATTTTGTGTATAACAGTTTATTCTAAAGAAAATTGTGTGTATAACAGTTTTTCTGCAGGTATATAACTGCAATGTATAACAGTTTCTTATTAAATAAACAGCTATTTTATACTAATTTTTGTGTATAACACTTTTTTAATAAAAATATTTGTGTATAACTGTATTTTATTTTTCGTATAACAGTTTTTATATAGAAGATTTTGTTTATAATGTTTTTACTATAGAAAATTTTGTGTATAATATTATTTTTTAAATTTGTGTATAACAGTATGACAACAATTTTTATTTTCCATTACAAGTATTTTTTTTATAACAGTTTTTCATTGAAAATTTTACGTATATATTGTGTATAACAGTATATACAATTTTGAGAACTTTGTAATTACAGTGGACGTCCAATAGTACGTATACTCTTTATTACGATTATCCAATAATACGAATGGCAAAATTGTTGCATTGTCTACTCTATAGTACGAATAAAGTCACAATTTTTCTGTTCGATAGTACGAATAACGCATTTTTTATGGGAATTTTGGTTTTATTTACGTATAAATGAAGTTTTTATTATGTTTTTATTTTATTATTTCGGTATCATTCACCTTAAGCTCAGTAATTTTAATTTTTTTTTATTTATTACAAGTGTTTTGTATTTTTAAAAATCCTATACACACAATTTACTGCATGTATATTTACAAATCAACAATTATTTAGTGTTATTAATTTATTTTATTGGAATTTTGATGACCCAAGAGAAGAAATTAAATTGGATGATAACGCCAATGAGGAAAGTATTTTATAAGTTCCCGACAATAACTCTGCTGAGAACAATATTGAAGCCTCAAAAGTGCTGTTATTGAAAAAGCAGTAAGAATCATTTTACAATGTAATAAACATCGATGTTAAATGATGGATTTTTTAATAAGTAAAATTATATTTATATACATATGTATGTATGAACTGTTAATTTTGAAAGTAGTGTGACTCCACATTCCAAACAATGGGTTTAAGGAAAACTATTCTAATTTTTAAGAGAAAATTATAAATTAGAGAATTGTGGTATATTCCATTCAAGTTTCTAATAAAAGTTTTATGTAATCTGAACATTTTAATACATTTTAGAACACATATGTAAATTGCAAATTGTCTTTGGCACACATCTTTTTAAAAACATTAAAATTTAAAAACTTCTACATATATCTCATTTCAAGCATTGGACTCGCGATACTTTCAAAATTAACAATTCATATACGTAAATATGTCCCTTTTATGCCTGTTTATGCCTATACAAGAAATTTATTTAAAATAATACACATTTATTATATTTTGTTCCGTTATGTTTTTCATGAAAAATATAACAAAAATAAATAAAATCCAATATTTTATGTGTATTATTTGAATTTAAACATACAAAATGTGTTGTTCAATAATACGAATTTTTCGGTATTACGAAAGGGCCTGACACTATATAATTCGTACTAGTGGACGTCCACTGTATACTATGGACTCTAAATTTTAAATAAATTCTATGCCTTTTGCTCAAAAATACGTTAAAACTTAACATTTCCCAAAATGTTAATCTCTTTAATAATTGCCACCAATTCAGCCTATATCCACAAAACAAATCTAACACCTCAAAATGAACAGCATAGCGGCGCGCCGCTGTGATTTTTCCGGCTTAATAGATACATTTTCATCTTTTTAATGTTAGCCTAACATGTTTAGGTGGGTGTTTGAGAGTGCATTTCACCTAAAATAAAATTGTTTTTAACATTTAAGTAAAAACGTCTTCATGCAAGAGAAAATTGCATTTATACCGCATTTAAGAGAATAATTTTCTATGACAAAAGAGTTCTTTCCACTCTTCTTTGTAGCATAATAAGCCGGTAAACAAATTTAAAATGCAAGAAATTTTTTTGGGTGCAGTATAAGAGCAGTGTTGTAGGAAAATAAATGCATATTCAAGATTTATTATTGTTTACAATTATCAATATTTCTCGAAAGCAATAAACTCGTCAAACAAAAATTACGAGGTATCTCAGTTTAGGGACTGAACAGTGAAGAACAAAAGTATATTGAACAAATAAATAAGAATCTAAAAAAAATTTATGATTTTTTTCTTGGAATCTAGTGTTAACTAATTGGTGAAAATTCGTAAACAAAAAGTAAATTTTGTGAGTTTAGGAATATAATTCCTAACCGTATTTTCGGGCCAAATAACAAAAAATTTTTAGAAATTATATTCCAATTACAAAATTGTTGTGAAATGCAAAAAAATATAAATTTCTTAATAAATAAATCGATCTAATCCCTTAATACTCACAAGAGATACATACATATGCATCAATATAATGAATACAAAATGTATCACTATTTCTCATCTCCACTGTTATTATTTCAAAAGAAACCAACAATAACATTCAACCACAAAGAATTGTAAACAAGATAATAAACATTTTGTATGCATACACTGTTAAGAGCGAAAAAAAACAACAACTAAATCACAAAATTCCAGAATAATTATTGTCTCCTACAACTACTTTACACTGATACGACGATAATTCTAAATAACGCACGTTTTACCCTGCTTCCCATTTTAAGAGATAAAAATTTTAATTTTATTTATTCTAAACACAAACAAATCACAGCAACAAAAGGGATTGAAAAAAAAAATAACATTAGTTTTTCCCACTTTTTTCTGTGATTGTCTATCATCTATCATACTGAGGAAAAACTATACGAATTGCAGGTCATTCTAAAATGTCAAGAGAGTCGATAGACAGAGTGAGTGCTTTTGAGAGAGCAAGTGTGATATAAATTTGTTTGGAAAAAGAAAGAGATGTGGAAAAACTGCACTAACACAATGTTATAGAAACCAAATAGTAATGGCAGCATGATTGTTTTTCGGTATAAAAAATACTTCATCTCATCAACAGAAGTGAAAAGTGCATATAGGGACCGAGCTAGTGCTGTCAAATGATAAGTGAGGAAGAAAAGCACTGGTTTATGCGTGAACAGGAAATTAACTAAAATATGAAAAAGCACTTTCTAGATCAGTCTATATCTTCTTAACTGAAGATAAACAAATACATATTGTATATAGTCTAGTCTATAGTCTAATCTATAGTCTAGTTTATAGTCTAGTCTATAGTCTAATCTATAGTCTAGTCTATAGTCTAGTCTAGTCTATAGTCTAGTCTATAGTCTAGTGTATAGTCTAGTCTATAGTCTAGTCTATAGTCTAGTCTATAGTCTAGTCTATAGTCTAGTCTAG